TTACTCCAATGACAGTCCTTACGAACCACAAGAGTCAAAACCTCTGTAATTTGAGTAGGGTAATCATCGACACGATCTAATGCAGAAACCTGGTTTCTAAGAGATTCTCTGTCATGGTAAAAAGACAATTCTGAAGGGACTATCTCATCTACTAAAGGTTCGTGTAAAGTTTCAGAATGATCTTTACCCCTAGAAGAAGATTTGCGAGAAAGGGAACCTCTGGTTCTAGAGGAAGGACCAGAACTAGAAGAAGGCATAGACGAACTGCCTCGAGTAGATCCTAAACTACGAAGTCTACCTCCCCTTCTGTGCCTAACAGAGGCATTGGGGAAGGAGTCAGTAATGAAAACTCTCTCAGGGCTAGGGCTTGGAGAAGACATATCGAAGAGGAATGATCTAAGGAAGAAGTAAATAGAGATTTGGAGAAATGAGTGTTCAATAAGCTTTATGTGATAAAAGACAATGGAAAAAAATATATTTATACCGATAAGCAACCGCCAAAGGTAAAAGTGCGGAAGTGGAAAGATCATAATTATGATAACTGGCACTTTATTAATAGTGGAACCGTAAAAACCTTGAAAAAGGCTGCAAAAATTGCAGAGCCAATGAAAAATTGATACGTGTACGAAATATTAAATGGAAGCGACAATTGAAGCGTCAATTTTGTCATAGCATTAATGGTGACAAAAATTCTCGTTTTAATGAAATCCACTTCCCAAATATTCAATTGATGAATAAATAGAAAGTGGGGGGACTATCTGTATTGGGAAAAATTGCATTTATATATGCATGTGACATGTTGAGACACGTGGACTGGTCAAATAGTCAAAGAATTATAATTAGTCAAGAGGCATGGGCAGCAATAGAAATGAGCAAAGGCAAAGAAAGAGGCACGGGAGGACATTCGAAGGATTCAGCGCTCGTACCTATTTAAATCATTTATCAAAAGGAATGGATCTGACCATAATAAAGAGCGCAGATACGGAATTCGACATGCATTAAATACTGGATACGTTAGAGAATTTGTATTGATTACAATGATTGTGTAACATAGCATTCAATGTCTTTAATTATTCATAATAGCCTCATTATGATTTGGGGAGACCACATATCTTCAAGATACCTATAAAAGAGAGGTATCTGATTACTTGTAAACACAAGACACAATTGGAATATACTTTGATTTACTTGTTTTTCTCCTGATTACACTCTGGTTACTATAAATTACTTTCTTCTACATATTCTTTTGATTATCAATAATTCGTGTTCTTCTAAATTCTAACTTTGACTAAAATTCTATTTTATGGTTAAACAACAGATGATATGTGAAAGGTAATATAATGACGGGCAATGTAATTCAAGTAATAGGAAGTCCTCTTTTTTCCCTTTTTCTTTTTCTCTTTGAATATAATTTCATTTCTGGTTGTTAATATTTTTTTAATTAATAGGTTGGAAAAACGGAATAGAAAAAGAAGGAAAAAAACAAATTCAGTTACATTTATTACCCGGAGGACGCAAGCATGAGAGATCCGATCTAAGCTAGCAATAACAGTCTGTTGTTACTTAGCTTGTGACAGATCAATTAAGAAATAAAATACTTAGAAAATCACACATGCACAACGACCGAAGCCAAAAACAGGTTAAAAACGTAGAATTTACTCTTATTTATTACACATTTGTATTCTGGTTCAATTTTTCTAAATAGTTAAAGTTCGAGTCGGTCCAACTTTTTTTTATCTATTTTGACAAGAGTGAGCTCATAATTTTTTATGATTATGCCTGGTTGATGTTGTTAAAAATGTCGAACAGATCAGTTCAAAATACCCATACGTAGTTTAAAAATTGTGTGATGATCGTATGTTTAGCTAATGAATTAGTTAATCATTGAAAAGCTCAAAATTCGAATCCGAATCTACAAAGAAATAGAATCCGAGACAAGATTTAGCTCAAATACAAAGAAATAGAATCCAATATTCTCTCATTTCTTTGTCTTTCTTTAATTTAGAGTTTAAGTTATATACATCATCAATGTACGTAGGTAATTCTTTTACAGTATTAGTTAATTAATCCAAAAACATATACTATATGTAACTAAGTTTCCTTAAAATATAAAATTTATAATCTTAAAGATAAGACAGAATACTTGTTACAATAAGAAAAGGTAACTTTGAGATGTTCATAGTGTTTAGCTAATGCACGCCAATCTCCAAAAGTCCTTGGTTGATGTTCACAATACATAGGCTTTCATTAGCTCCAATTTTATTTTTATTTAAAAAAAAAGAATATCATAATAGTAAAAGATGAATTCATCTCAATTAACAAAGACATTATTTTAGACACAACTTTTGCTCGTCTATACGAGGAACTAAGGAACAAAGATGGGGAGAAGAAGTTATTCCGACTCGCTAAGGCGAGAGAGAGGACAACTCGGGATCTGGACCAAGTGAGGTGCATAAAAGATGATGACGGCAAAGTTTTGATGGGAGATGACCAGATTAAGAGGAGGTGGCAGACCTACTTTCATAAACTTCTAAGTGAAGAAGGGGATCATGATATTATACTTGGGGAATTGAGGAATGCCGGCAGTCCCCACGAATTAAGTAATTGTAGGGACATTGAGATCGATGAAGTCATGGAGGCAATGCGTANAGACTAGCCAGTTAGGAGTTAGACTAAGAATGTCATTGGTCGTCTATTGATGCAGGGCTTTACCTGCTAGTTTTTACTATACTAGCCATCTATTTCGTATTCTGTATTTCATATCTCTTATATTGTTGTTATTTTATTATGCATTTTTATGGTACTAATATATCGTCTCCTGTTGCTTTTTTGAGCCGAGGGTCTCCTGGAAACAGCCTCTCTACCCTTCGGGGTAGGGGTAAGGTTTGCGTACATATTACCCTCCCCAGACCCCGCTTGTGGAATTATACTGGGTCGTTGTTGTTGTTGTTGTTTGTATTATTTTAGACATGCAATCCAAAAAGAAAGAAAGATATATAAGTCGCTCGAAAAAAAACTCTTTTAATTAAGAGCCTGAAACCAACCAAGTCCTCTACTCAGCCCTGGTAGAAAGATTATGGGTATCAATGGGTTTTTTTACTGTGGACAAAGAGAGGTGATGATTTTGGGGTGTAGTGTGTTTCTTACGGTGATGATTTTGGGTAAGTATAAAGAGAGGTGATGATTTTGGGTAAGGACAAAGACAAATATAGTTTTCCTTGGAAAAAAGAAGAGTATCTTAAATGTAGGGGATTATGTGTAACTGATACACAATATTTAATGTATGTTTCATTTCCTCCTTTTTATGGTTTTGTATAAAACTAGTAAATATATGTATATAAAGTAATTAATAAGGAACCTAAATAAATATAGTAAATAGGTTTCTATTATAATATAGCTAGGTAAAAATTCCTTATTTAAACAGTTACCTGTCATTAATTTTAAAACAGCTTGGCGGTGCAAATTTCTTTATAGAATAAGTAAATACTTCAAAAATTCATTAACCTTTGCAGTACTTAAAAGAAAGAGAAACTTTCAGAAATCACTATATTTTAGTGGTTATTAGCTAGTTGTAGCTATCATTTATTATATTACTTTCTATAGCTATGTTTTCAGTTTTTTTAGAGTATATTCGATGTATTTAAGCTAATGTATTCATGAATACAGTAGCATTTCTAGCCGTGAAACAGGGGATTACAGCTAGACAGATTTTTGTATTCGACTGTATTTACGGTGTGAAACAGGGGATTACAGCTAGACAGATTATTGTATTCGGCTATATTCACGATATGTATTTGTGAATACAGTAACGTAAATAGCGCAATTCATTGTCTATTTAGCAGTTTTTAAATGGAAAGTGAATCAATTAACATAATAAACTCCTAATATAACTCAACAAACTCAATTATAACACACAAAATTTTGTATTCCAGTTATAAAAAAGATTCTCAGCCGAAAAATACCCCAAAAACATAGCAATCTTCAGAGAAAAAATGCTGAATATTTTTCTCAGTCGATAAATACAACAAAAACAGAGCAATTTGAATACATATATACATCTGAATACATAAATTATATTAATTAAAAAAATATATGAATACATTTATGGAATACAACGAGACAGTGAATACAATGAAATACATGGAATACAGCGAGATACATTGAAATACAATGAAAAAAAAGACAATGAATACAATGAAAATACAGCGATATATATTGAAATATATTAACAGAAAATTCAAGTTGCTCAGCCCCAAACTCCGTCGTCTTTGTTCAAGAACAACCCTAATGTTGTCTCGTCGAGAGGGCCGCGATACTGACTAGAAACGCCACTGTTCCTATTACCATAATATCCTCACGTGCGCTTCAAAAAACCTATTCTTTACAATTGAATTTGAATGGCGCTTGTGGATTGGGACGGAAAATCTCAGATTGGGCAAAACGACGAAGAGAAGAGGAAGACAGAGATTTATATAGAGTTTTGTTTCTAAATTCCAGATTGGTAATATAATCTGAAGAGAAGAGGAAGATGCAGAACCCTAAAACCCTCACGTTTCGATCCGAGCAGCAAATAATTTTCTGGCATTACAATGCTTCCCTCAATTTTTCTCTCTCATTCCCGTTTCGATCTGTATTTGGGAGAATTGTGGTTGCATTCATGGAGAAATACTGGAGTTGAGAGAGAGAGATGGTGGAGAAAAATCTGAAAGAAAGAGAAATAATACAATGCGTATTTTATGACTTAAGAGTAGAAGGTGACCATAAATAGATATTTAGCTATAAAATCAAAAGGTAGTTATGAAATATAATTTTTTAAAAGGACATCTATTTTTTGAAATAAATAAGGTATCAACCTTTGCTATAAGAGGTAACTAATCCTAAAAGTAGTATGTTCAACTTTACCCAGGTGGGCTGCTGTGTTTAGCAACTAGATGGAAAGCTTTAATATCTTTTAATCTCGCCCAAGGAGCAACCAAACTTATAGTAATTGCAAGGGAAGCTAAAACGGAAAATAGCATTTCTTTAGATTAAGGGAGATTATAGGGGAACATCACCCAGAACAGTAAATGCATGAATGAGGGAAAGGGAGGAAAAGAATCGAATTCCATCCAATCTTGAGCGCTTATTTTTTTCCAGATACAACAATACAAATCAAGCCATAACCTGAAAACTCAATATTGCTCCCTCTACATTAGTTTACAATCTCCAAAGCAGGAGTAGAACAACAAAAGCTAATTTCCCTGTGGAAAAAACAATTTGTATACTAACAACTAGTATGCTTCCTTTCTCGTGTAGAGTTTTCAGCGTTTTGAGAACATCCCCTGCGTCAAAGAGGAAAAGTCGTATTCTTTTGTCGACTGCGTAGAACTTGATGAAATAGGAGTAGCTGCCTGCATGCTAGGTCCAGACGGCAAAATACCGTTGCTGGAAGAATTTTGTCCCATCGAGTAGAAGCTGCAAAATAAAAAGATAACTATCAATTACATCTCCATCATAAAATACAAAATGAAAAATTAAACAAGTACCCAAAATTTGTTCCTGCTAAGCACAATAAATGGTACAACTATCAAAAATTTATTTCCTAAGGTTCCTTACCCAACATCAGTATTAAACTAAATCAAAATGTAAAAGACGATTGGCAGCTGAGCTCGTCAATGTAAATTGGCTATCAAAATCAGGTCATATGAATAAATCCGTCCTAATCCAAAAATAAAATAAAAATACAAGCCATCAAAAGCAACTGATAATCCAATATAGACATAGCTTCCAAAATCAGATCAGCAGATGTAGCTGTGAAAATCCCCAAACAACTGCAAACATTCAGATCTAGAAATCAAAATCACTCCAGTTTCTGTCAAAAGGAAAAAAACTGTGGGGAAGATGATGCGACCTTGTCTCTTCAAATGGTCGCACAAAATTAGCCATGTTTGACTAAAGTTAATATATTTTTCTACCAGTAGAAGAATATAAGACAACAAGGCACAGCCAGTAGAGTGATCTAAAAATAGCAAGAAACTTAGCTGCCATACAACAATAACATACTCAGTGTGATCCCACACAAGTGAGGGTGGGGCCTTGTGCGATGTAGAAAGGCTGTTTTAGATAGACCTTGGTCTCAAGAAAAACGTTTTCAAAACAGGTTTAAAAAATACAAGAGTAAAAAAGCTAAGATGAAATACTGAAGAAAAAGAAAGTGATGACAACAAAAATAGAAACCTAGCCGCCATAAATATAATCAAATGAATCAGGTGCGTCATATTAGATTTACCAGGGGGGGGGTTGTATGCGTGCAAGAGCAAGAAGGGATTAGAAAGGAAAAGGGTAATAAGGCTCCATGGATTATGCGATTGCCCTCTTCTACTTGATCATCACTAAATCTGTTTTACTTTTTATTGCAAGAGAGTCTTCTATTGTATACTTAAACCAACTATGAATGGATCAAAAGTCAGAAACTAAGTTCACGTTCAACTGTTTCCTTTTGAGGGAAAAAGGTTAAGTGAATTAGTGTCTCAAAACTCTAGGATCAAATAATACTATCCGATGGGGTCTATCCACAATCCACTATTAGCCAGAGGAATAAAAGGAGAGAGCCTTGCAATCAAATGTCATGTTGCTCGGACTCTCCAAAAGTGCTGCCGCACCGTGTCGGATCCTCCAAAAATGCACTAAATTTGGAGGATCCGACACGCACCCAACAATATTTTTGAAGAGTCCGAGTAACAGAGATCAAATGGAAAAAGCAGCTGGGATCTAGCAAATTGTGAGTTACGGGATATCATTCAAGAGATTTAAACGGCCAAAAATCGGCAGGATATGCTGCATTGCGTTAAGTTGTTCAATATAAGGTCTTAACAACAGGCCCTCTAAGGACAATGCAGCAGTCGCAGCAGTCGCAGCAGTCACAACAGTCTACATTTAACCAACAACAGGTCAGAGGTTAATACCTGGATGTTGAAAGTGGCACAGCGTTCCCAACTACATGTGTCGGTCCCATATTGCCTACCTAGTTTAGAAGCAAAATAAACAGCTTTGAGCAGAGTCTTAAAGACAAAAGGTCAATGACAAAATTTGATATCCATGTGTAATTTTTCTCTTCCCTTGATAAATAATACTCGTGTTCTACCTGCATATATTTCTCCGGCTCAGTCTTACCAGCTGCTGGCATCATCACACCAGGGAACTGATAGCCTAAATTTGGCCAATTTTGATTTACCATATTGGCGCCGTTAGGGCCTTGCTGTGCATTCACAGGAATTTTTACAGCGCCACCAGCAGCAGCCGCAGCCATTAGTAAAGACTGTTGTTGTGCCAGCATGGCGAGCTGTTGTTGATGCATAGCAAAAGGTGACACCATATTGGACTGTAAAGGCCAACATCATTTTTAGATAAAAGCAGAAATGTTAAACATGACCAAAAACTTCAACTTCTTGTAGCAGTATTGTACCTTGTCAAAAAGGCTCATTATATCATTTTTTACATCTTTCTGCGGCTTCCCGAATGAGGCAGAAGGCAGAATTGATGGTAAATCCTGGAATAAATCTTCAATTCCAGAAGCAGAAGCAGATTGAGACTTCTGATCATCAGTTTTTGTAGCCCCCGTTTTTTCTGCTTTTGTTGCTTCTTGAGCAGCTGCAAAGTTCACAACTTTCTTTATAGGAGAAAATGAGCTACAAGAGGAGTATTACAGCTTCAATTCAAATCCCAAGAAAAAATGCACGCTGTTGATTTCTCAAACTCATTTCATAACCTCTCTCTAAGCTAATGGAAGAAAGACGACTGCACTCTCTAAATGTTAATTGTAAAAAAAAAAAAGGGGNGAGTTATCATCGGTAGAAGCTGCTTCCGAGCCATTGTCACTTGGAGAATCCATAGAAAGCATGTCAAAAAGATCAGTAGCATAATCAACTTTAGGAGGATTCGTAGCTTCTGCAACCTGCTTTATAGATTCAGCGACTACAACAGGCTCTGCTTTCTGATTTGTCTGGTAAGCAACCTGACTCGAACTTACCTGCAAGTAGTCAAAACTATGATAAAGTGTTGATTCTAATCCAGAAAGACTAACAAGTAGTAAGAAATAACAAACAGCAGTTAGGAGCAGTTATACACAAGGACTAACGAGGGGATATGGATACACCACATACCTAACCTAAAAAATTAAGATGCAAGTATCTCGTAACTCAAAAGCAGTATGAGTAAGAGCTGCTTAATTCAACAATACGGGTAAAGAATCAATACTCAACACCAATAATAACTGCAACCAAACCCTAACGGCTAAGATCCAATCAGCTCATATACCTAAGGCAAGTCCAGTAGATATACCAGCAAATGAAGAGGATTTCAATCAAAAAAAGACATGAGACAACAATGAGACAAAAACATTACACCTGAAAGGTAAAAAAATGTGGAGAAAGCCAATTTGATGAATATAAAGTTTAACATACATGCTCTGGCCCTCTAGGAGGCAGTGGTATACTGACTCTAGCAGCAGGTATATCTTGCTTTGTGTTCGGGGCTTGAACGTTCTTCCTCTCATCAGATGCAACCCCTGAGTTAGTCGCATGTCCACGCCCACTTCTATCACTGTTTTGTTGCCATTGCACTGAAGCCCTCTCTTCTTGAACCCTGGAAGGTGGTTTTTGTATCCCATCCTTAGGGACCCACCTCTTATCTTCATATCTTAACAAAACACAGGAGATGCCATGGATAAGTACAAAATAATAGATTGAGGGAAGAAGACCACATGAAGGTATAAATTGTTAGGAGAGACTAAGTAAGTACGTACTTTGCTCGGATGAAATTCTCAATACCAACTCTATCATAATTTGGAGGCAGCTCTGCTTCCCAATAACTATTAGACCTCTCATTTCCCATTGCTATATGAAACCAAGAGATAAAAAGTAGAGGAAGAAAAAAAACGGTTATCTAAAATTAAAACATTTCTCTATCAAGTCAAAATCTAAACTTTGATAATTATAGGAAACAGCTATCTTACATTGAATAAATGCAACTTGTTCAGGAAGCCATGTGTCTAGAGTAGCTGATCTGACCTGTAATTTCAGAGACATCAGAGAATACAACAAAAAAATTGAAGTAACATTCTTACAGACTAGAAGGTCAGAGAGGATTCATATAGCCTACCCTAACTTGTTTGGGACTTAGGCACAGTCGTTGTCGCCAATAATCATTCAGAGCACAATGAGTTGTTTTTCTTAAAGTGAATATTTTTATTCAATATGTAAGATGTGGAATTTTTATTTTTTATTTTTATAAGAAGAGATGTGGAATTATATCCCGCATACAGGCAACATACCAAAAAGTAGAGAACCTACAAAAGAAAAAGTATGTGCTCTGGGAAAGACACCCAATCTTCTATAGAAACAAGAACCTCATGGGTTTGACTAAAAATAAGAGGTTATTCCTCAAATGTATAAAACTAGACTCAACCTACAATAAGCCATTTAAAAATACAGTTTTTTGTGTGTGTGGGGGGGGGGGGGATCCAGAAACAGAAGGACGAGTATTGAGAGAAATTATCACATGTTCCAATTGATAGATGCTGTGTATTAAAAAAAAGTGCACAAGGATTATTGTGATTATTATGCATATAGTTATCAAACCAGACTACAAGAGACACCTAATCTTCTATAGAAAAATGAAACCCATGGGTTTGACGAAAAATGAGGCAATTCCTCAAATGTACAAAATCTAGACTGAAACCACAATGAGCCATTTAAAATACAAGGATTGTTGGGGAAAAAAGAGCTCCAGAAAAAGTTGAAGAATGAGACTTGAGAGAAATCTGATCACATGTTCCAAGTTCGCAGATACTTCACAACCACACATTAACAAAAAGTACACAATGGTTATTGTGATTATTATGCATAAAATTATTGTTTCGTGGACTTTTGCCTAATAATTACTAGCATTTTTCAGCAAACTCTTTTGCCGGACGAAAGCAGCAAACAAGTTCCAAAGACAATATTCATTGCAATTACTCATTTCAAGGATTGTGGGTATTAGTTAAATGACTCCATTCAGCCGACATGTCTTCATGACATTAAGATGTTAGAAATTATTTCCTGGATTCTCATCATAAAACACAGAGAAGATGAGGAAATGTAGAGTGATTTTCCAAACAAAGTACATGACTATCCCTCTAAATCAGAAGAGAATGCAATAACAGAGGAAGTTAGATTAGATTGAATATCAGCAGTAGAGTCATACAAATTATGAATTAATAGATGTGAAATGATCACCATCCTCGTGATCAAAAATCAACATATGTTAAGTAGGGGTGGCCGCAGCTGAAAAAGGAATGAGTTTTAAGTTTCAGTCGTAGTTAGTCATTCAAAGAATTTTATCTCAATCAAGAATATTAAGCAACAATACTATGGGAAACAGCAGCAACAACAAGGAATCTAAAGTTGACCATGACCTTTATTGTTCGCAATTTCTCAATTGGGACAACACTTATAGCTGAAATACATGCAAATGCTCACATCATTTCAGACTTTTAGAATATGTGGGACATTTTGGTCATGATGAGGAATATATCACCTTCGATATGTGCACCCCCAGACTTCTGTGGATCCCAGAGCATTGCATGCAAATAAATATCCCCAGGTTCACGCTTGCCCATCTAGGACCCCTGCATTGGTACAAAAGTAAAGTACGGTCAAAATAAGGACTCCAAAGAGTTTATTAAAACCAGTTCTGTTCAATTCAATGATCTATTAACAAGCACATCCGAGCTTCACTTTGCCACATTTGAGATACATCCTAATACGTACTTGGCTTTGCAATCTGCACATTCCCTGTTCTCGGGCAATTTAAGAAGTCCTTCTAGTATCTGCCAAAAAGCCCAGCGATGAGTTAACTTGATGTGAACACACACATTAATCGAAAATAAACCCACCAGAAAATCAAATGTGAAGGGAAAAATCATTATATAATCCACACATGAATCGGAAATATACCAATCAGGAAATAAACTGTGAAGGGTAAATTCATTATATAATGCACACATGAATCGAAATAAACCGACCAGGAAATAAACTGTGAAGGGTAAATTCATTATATAATGCACACATGAATCGAAATAAACCGACCAGGAAATAAACTGTGAAGGGGAAGTTCATTATAGAACCAAAAACTACATAATGATAATCATGCTTCCTTATGGTCTTCCTGTGGTTAATCATGTTATTTGCTTTGATTAAAGAAAATTTTATCTTTCTACCTCCAAGGAAAATAAGTGAGGGGCTAAGAGTAGAGGAAGAAGAACAGATACCACAGTTTCCTTTTTCTTTTCTCGCAGTATTAATACTTACATGACATGTGCACAGCTTTGGTGATTAAGAATTCTAAATCAGGACTTAATGCCTTCAACTCAGATGCTAGTATAGCTTTGGCAGTCAGGACTTCCAAAATCGGGAAGAGGAAATTCTCATAGAGACATTGGATTAAACTGGTTTCACACTGCTTCTTAATTATGAAGAAACTATCTTTCCTGTATCTCTCCATGGGTAAAGCTCTGGAGATCTCTATTCAACAATAGATCATCTCAATGCTTCACATATAATTTCTATTCACACTTCTGTAAACATTTCTAGCTAGCAATATCACTAAGAAGAAAGTTGACGGCAGAATGGTCAAATGTTCAAAGGCTTTGACTTTAGGTTCTCAATACCAGCTATATTCGTATTCGAATCAACTGAACAAGCTAAGAAAGGAATAATATGTCGATAGTGCCTTGGTAATATGAACAAATTTCACCTAATGTCCTTAAATTATTTAAAACAAATAAAAAATGATGAGTATCCGGGAAAGCTGTCTATTTTTCCTTTTCTATTAGGAAAAGAATGAACATCCAAAATTCAAATTTCAAGCCAGCTGCTTTGAACCAGATCATCATTTCAGTGCTCAAACTATCATATACGAATAAAATTAGCAATAAGAGTCCAATTTTAAGGAAAGGGGAAAAATGATCCACTAAGCCCCAAATCTCAAATATAAATTGATAAGAGCCAATAAAATATATCCACAAAAACTAACCAAGAGTCAGACTTTATCAAATCTAACTTAGATCAAAACTAACTTAGATCAAACGAGAAAAAAAGAAATTTGGGGAAAAATCATGAATCGGAAGTATATATACCTTTCTGTGCTTAGCATTAAGCTCTTTTGTAACATTAGCCTTCTCGTTCATGGTGGCGACGGGCAAAAGGTTTTAACGGAAATGGAATTGGCCGACGGAGAGAGAAGATATCGGAAAAAATGAAACTTGCTGATCTGATTCCTCTCTCTCTCTCTCTCTCTCTCCGACGCGTAAAAATCAATATATGACCCAACGAGGAAATGCAACTGGATGAGAAATGAGGAGGAATCGCACCTGTCTCTCTTTGATTTTGACTTATTTATTTGCTTTTTATTTATTTATTTGCTTTAACTTGTCTTTTTTTTTTTTTTCATTCCTACTTTGTGTTCCCGTGCGAACTGGGGCGCTGGTGTAAATATATGGCTAGTTCACACGCGTGAATTAGTGGAAGTAGGTCCACCATAAATACCATAGCCTTATTAAAAATCTGTGCTATTTGTACGTCATGTGGATTTTGAAGTATTAAATATTTATTTTTTACTTTGAACTTAAACATGAATTTTTAAATTAAATGAATTATATACAATTTTTATTAATTTTGTTCTTATGAGAAATAAATCTTTTTTAAAACAAATAATAGAATAGTTTAAGTACTCGAATAGTAATAATAAAATTATATAAAATAAGATAAAAGGATTATTTTATTAAATCTGCTTGTTAACATTTATCCACACCCAATTTTTTTCACTTCACTTTCCTATTCTTTTTACTGTTTTAGAACTATCAAGGGGTCCGAACATAGAATGGTGGAATGAAAAAATAATTGAATTTTTTCCCTTTTCATACTAACCTAAAACTGGTAGTCGTTAAATCAAATACCAATTTTGTTTAAAGCTTTTTTGGTATATGAGACGTTTCCTCCAATAAATGTTTTTCACTCTTACGAATACGATCCCTGGCTGCCATTTTTTTTTTCCTTCTAACTTTTAATTGGCAGCGTATATATTTATGGGTTCTACTTTCGATATTTGAGGTCCAGTAGCACCAAGCTATCCTAAATTCATGTGCGTCAATTTAATTTTTTTCATAATTTTGTGTGTTTGTTTCGTAAATTATTAATATTTAATTATTTAATTGGACAGAGTTTGTGTTTGATCTATCAATATAGTAGATACTTAAACTATAGGGATTCTACGCTAAAAAGCTCTACATTTTACTACGCTTAAAGGTTCTATATTTTACTACGCTAAAAGAGCACTAATCTTTAAGCAAATAAATAATCTAAACTAAATAAAAACAACAAATATATTTTAATAACATAACATTCACGAAATTACATATAAAACAGTAAAAGAAATTTAAGAACATTTTTATTAACAAAAGAAAATGATTTCTCAACTTTTAAATATTTTTTTAAAACACTAATATCTTAATCCGGATAAAAATATCATACTAGTTTAATCGCAAACAAAACACAAAACAACATGGAAACACATTAAAGATAACTAATATGCATTATTATACGAGTTTCGACATAAACTAAATTGGAATACCTCGATTTATGATTTTAGAAAAGGTGAAAATTGAAATTTTAAGCCCGAAACGAGAAAACCACAACAATAGAAGGCTTAGGTTGGATGTGGGACCTACAATCTTATTTTTTTGTGTGACGAGTGGGGTCCACTCGGATTTTTTATGGAGAAAAAGAGGGGGATGGGGGGGGGCGTTGTTAGCGACTTAGGGTGTTTTAAAAATGAGGGGGGAGGGGGGGTCTGTTTCTGTTGTGTAGGGAAGAAGAAAGGCTTTTTAATTAAGAGGTATAGCGTGGTATTAATCGGCGCTATATATAACGCGGTATTACTTCGCGCTATATATAACGCGGTATTACTCCGCGCTATACCTTAACGGCAGAAATGTCGTTAAAGTATAGCACGTTGTAATACCACGTTATATATAAAAAAGTGTCTTTTTTTTAGGAGTAAAAACGTATTTTGAGTCCAAAAACCCCAACATTTAGGTTTGTTAGATAACTCCAAGGCTTAACAAAAATAATTGGTTTAGTTAAATAACTCCAATGCTTTTGATGGTTTGTTGGCTAAATAAGTCTCTATTACACTATTTTGCTTAGTGCCCGACCCCACCGAAACAAACTGTGACAGCAAAGTGCCAACTTATCTGCAGTGTTTAAGTTTATTTATCTATTTATTTTTTCTTTTTCACCTAGTGTTTAAAAAGTTTAGGTTTGCCTACAATTTCTCTTCTTTTTTGAAGTGGTGTTTTAAATTTGGGTTAAATTTCCCTTCCTCGTTTTGGGTAAGAATTAACTTAAATTGTCATTCACCCGACGTTTAAATAAAAAATAGATGGTAAAAATATAATACATGTATAATTTATATATATTATTTACAAAAAAGTAGTAAACAAAATACTCAACCGGCTATTTGCGTAAAATTTCATTTGTTTCCAAAAAATTGCATAAATATGATAGTTTAGGGATGATTTTTAATTTTTGAACCCTGCATATCTTGTATGGAGAACTTCAAAGTAAAAAATTAAAAGTGTTGCCCATGAAATAAATGAGGGATAATACTTATTAAATTTAAAGTTCTGCCCATAAAGCAAACATAGACAAAAATAGTGCTATTTGAGTACATTACGGGAATTTTTCCTATATATACTGTAATAGGAACTTATTTACCCACTTTCTCTAGGTTTTGTAGTTTTCAAAAAGTATCTAAATTTTATTTACAAATTATATATATTCCTCCCTTAAAAGGCTCTCACCTCATTAATAATGCATTTAATTAGAGGATTAATTATATCCTTTCCTTTTTTTCTCCTCTCCTCATTTCTTACATCCTAATTTCTTCTGTAGATCTCCTTTTCTCTCTCTTTGATAATTGTACGTCTTCAACAAAAAGCTGGTAATTTTGCTTTATTGTTGAATGATTTTGGTTGGAACTATCCAATACTGGATATAATGTCATAAAGGAAAATTCTATGTTCTTATTATCCTTAAAATATTAAGAAAGTGATCCCTAATCTAACAATTCCAATAACATGAGACTACTTTCCAGAATAGAAACAAAAAAAACTTTTTTGTGCAGTTACAAATTTATACACAAATGTCACGATATAAAAATATTCAGTTGCTAACCAAGTATCTTCAACAATTCAAAAATCCTTAAACTCTAGCAAAATTATTATTAATAGGATAATGACTCATACAAATCCAAATGTGAAATAGGACACAAACTTACAATTGCTCATGGCCATATACAACTAATGTACAATTATAATACATTTGGTATATAATTATATTTCTGCAACAATTATGATACAAATATTATTCATATTATAGAAGAGCCATGGGATGGTCGACCACTGCTCTGAAGAGTTGTACAAAAAGCTATGTTAATTGTATTACTAGTATTAGTACTCGCGCGATGCGCGGATACAAATCATGTCGGATTGTGATTTGGATTATTTGAATTATGTATAAATAACTTTAAAATATAAACCTTACAGATAAAATTTATGGATAATCATTAGATAGCAAGACATAAAATCATTTCGTAAATCTCATATTGGATAACCTATTTTTTTTCTATATTTATATAATCCAATAGGTTAATTTTAGTACTTGAATTTCATTTCGTTATCAATATTAAAAATTACTAACTATGTCATGTGGTGATTTGTCTCGTTTAAACATATTAAATTATATTATTTTAATAAAATTCTCAGTATTAGTTTATTGGAAAAATGCATAAGTACCCCCCTGACCTATACCTAGATTCTCAACTACACATTTTTCCTTTGCGCGAATTCTATTACCCCCCCTAAACTTATTTTAAATGGAATTATTTGCACCGTTAACGCTAACGTAGCAGAGTGTGTGTATTTCACTCTCCCTTGGGAGAGAAGGGAGAGTGAGAAGCAAGAAAAAACGATTTTCAGATTATTTTTTATTCTTTTTTACCATTTTTCTTACTTTTTTTTTCCTTTTCCTTTTCCTTTGTCTTTTTTCTTTTACTTTTTTTTCGTTTCTTCTCTAATTTCGGCGGATATTCATTCACCGGCGACTTTGTCTAACTGTTTTTCTTCCATTTTTTCTTTTCACACACAAATTAAACTCTCAAAAAGATCTATTCATAAGCAAAGCAAAATACACTCAGATTTG